CGTGAAAAATATTTGGGGGGTGCTTAACTTTTTTCCAGGTGTATATATATATATATCCTGTTGTTTTTTTTATTTCAAAATCCTACGTATATAAGCTTAGTTATTAAACCCGAAATTAAAGAAGCAGTTTACAGATACCTGTTTTCCTAGGTTCTGGAAAGTCCTATACCATGATGGGTTCAGAAGAAAACAAGGGTTTAATACCTCGTCTTTGTGATGATCTGTTTGGGAGGATAGCTTGTAACACAAATTCTAGTCTCTCCTATAAGGTAGAGGTTTCATACATGGAGATTTATAATGAAAAAGTACATGATCTCCTGGATCCTAAAGGGTAGGCAGCCTGCTTTTTGGTATTACATTCATATTCAATTTTTCTGTTATTTCTCTTTCTAAAAATGGAATGACTGTGGTTTATTTAATTATATTTTGATTACATTTTAATAATAAGGGTTAATCTTCAGTTAAAGATATTGAAAATGTCTTTCAAACTAGAAGCTGATAAAACTCATTCACTGAAAATGTTGTATTATAGCTTCAGCTTAAAATTCCTACATAATGGAAATAATACTTGTACAATAAGAATTAGCTTGATTGACACTCTAACTTATATTGGTGCTAATGTGCTTTATCATGTACCAGCTATTATTATCTTGGATGCACTTGTCAGTGAAACAGTTTAAAGAAAAGTAAGTTATGATTGCATTTGATAACAGGCTGAACACAATATCACATAAAATTAACTTAGATAAATGACTGAGTAACTGAATATGTAAACATGTAAGCAAGACCCTTAACAAAGCAAGAAATTAAATGCTGCAGCTCAGAACTAAAAATAATGCATATTTAATTGTTATGGTGTAAAAAATATATATATATATATATGAACAATCTAATCTTCTGTATGACTGAACATATATACTCTTGCTATAATGTGTAAAGTTAAATTTTAAAACCTGGCTTCCTTGAAAAAGTTAACTAAATTTTTGCTATATTGTATTTTAATAATGTTTATAACTATTAATTTCTTGAACTTATCTTTCAATTATATCTTAGATAGTGGAAGAATGTGATTTGAAGCCTTGTATGTAAGAATGTAAAAGTAATATATAATCAACGGTATCATTTATCTGAATGTACAGACAGTCAAATGTTTGTAATAGTTCAAATAAACTTTTGTAACTTAAATTCTTTTGTTAGTACTAATTCTCTTAACACACTGAGTTTTCTACTTGTTTACACTTTGAGGCTTGACACAGAAGAATGCTTACATTAGTGTTTTTTAAAGTACTTTGACACAATGGTCTTTTTTAAGTGTTTTCAACCAAATAGGAGTCCAGAAATTAGGAGCAGAATCCACATGGTTATAATATAATTTGACTTTGTTAATTTTTAATTTACTGATAGGATCATCTAGATCATTTTTCCAGCCATATTATATTAAAGGTTGCTCAAATATCACATGATCACTAAACATTTAACAGATTCACCTTAATGAGAATTTTTAGTGTTTTATCATTGTAATTCTTAAAGTAAATGAACAAAACAGTAAGTGCTTAACCTTTTGTTAAACAGGTCTAACATTCTAAAATAAGCCACAAAATAAAACATTTTGTAACAGATAAAGAAAATAATATACTAGAATCACTAGTAATGTGGCATTTTTTTCAAAATATCATCATACATTTCTGACTGTTGCATGAAGTGACAGCTAGCACCATGAATATGAAAGATGTAGTCAATAACTCTTAAATTAGTGAGCATATGTGAACAAAATTTGGCAGATTATCAGTAAACATTATAATGCTTTCATACACAAAATATAATTTCTTTTTTTATTAACTCTTAATGTTTGTAATGCAATGTTTTTCTCATGCCTTTTTTTCTTTTCACATGTTGCATATCCAACATGCAAAGTAATCTTCATTTTAAGATTAAAAATACTGTTGTGCATCAGAAAAATGTCAAATTTCACATGCTAAATCTTTATAATATACTTTAGTTATATACAGATAGTTATCAAATGTTTCTTAAGAACAATGATTCTTTCAGGAACAAATCTCTATACAGATTTAGTCAATTTGACCAATCTTGAAACCACGTAAAAAAATATAAGTTATGCCTTTTTCGTTCTATAATGACTACAGATTGTAACACAAAAACATAAATGTTTAGATTAAATACCTTAAATGTCATAACATTATGCATTTATATATATTTATTATTTTTATTATATTGATCTTTCAGTCATGCCTGGCTAACAATACAGAAGCTACAATGACCCAGCACATGTGTACTCATGTTACCATATCCAATAGTATAAAACTGACCTTTGGTCTGTTTAAAGTAACTTGTCTTGGTTGTATTTTAGTAGACTAGTATTTTGTAAAATACAGTCACATTTCAATTATTATACATTATATATGTATATAGATTATTGGTATTTAGAAATTAATTCTGAAACTTATTTTTCTTTAAACATAGAACAGTAAATAAAGAAGTAAAGCAAACAATTATCTTTTCTAGTTATGACTTTTGTACTTGGTTGCTACTTGAGATAGATTGCTAACCCTATTAAGATTTTTCCTGTGGAAGATATGAAACAAAATTATTTTTTTATAGGTTCTATATATACAGTGGAATAACAACAAAATCATAAATTACTATATCAATACCATAGAATTCTACTATACTTTATCAAGCTTTGTAACTAACCTGTATTTCAGTCTAAAAATATGAAATTTTGAGCAGACTAAAGACACAACCTACCTCCTTGAAATACTGGTTTGAAAGAAAGAAAGAAATGGCATCCAAACACGTTAAAATGGCTGTGAAAGCCACTAGGGGGACATTCTGAGCTTTCAATTGGTTATCCATGTTATATGTAGAAGTAAGTGTATAAAAGGTAGCATTT